AAGAAAAGTCGCTTACCTTGTGTAACTTCCTTATTGGTGTGAGACCTTGTGGACGTCCGACGATGGGCACATCTGGACGCCGTGCCAGGCGGATGTTTTTCTGGCTTGTTCCTGGCTCCAGTGCCGCTGTGATTCGCTAAACTCATCCATGCAACGAAGCGTTTGGGCAAGCTTCTCCAGCGCGGCATCGGTCGGATTATTTAGGACGCTGAGCATGCGTGTTCGCCCAGCTGCGTAGTCCTAATCAAGATGTTTATTGATGTCATACTTTTTTCAATCTGAAAGTATACCATCTCTATTTTTTGTATCATATCCCTAATGACGTCGGGATTATCAGTAAAGCGACGTCTAGCTGTATCCGGCACTTCTTCAACATCGTTTTCCACTGTAACGACGTCTAGTAGCTCCTCCTCATGGGTGTCTTCGTCTACTATTGCAATTGACGAGGGATCCCATGAAGAAGTTGGTGCTATATCGTTCTCAAAGTTGCGACGGCCTATCAAAGTAAATTTGTTGAAACTTTCTACTGATGTATAGTATTAGTTATCACCCGGGGATTACCATGAGATGCGTACAGCAGTGCCGCATGGACGTGTAGCTTATTGTCTGCAGCTTATTCCGCTTTTGGCATCCATCGAGCAACTGCAAGCAAAAGCATAGGGGCACGCTTTGCATTCCCCTCGACGGCAGTGATTGTTGTGCTGAAAATTATATGTTGAACATTTGAACAAACCGAATAAATTGGTATGTTTCAGTGAACCTGAACATTGCATGGACAGTACTGCTCCTGAATATTGTACAAGTTGCTGTTGTCAGCAACTTGCCACTTTCCTGCTCCTCTCATAACAATCAGTTCCTTCTGAGCAGCGTACTTGATCTGCAGCAGTGTGATGTTTGTAATGCTGCTGTAGTCTGTAACTGCCTTCTTCAACTCCTCTTTCCATCTGATTTTATGTGATATAGTATATAGAACAAAAGGCTCGATTTATTCTAATAATACCATAATAACTCGCTCCTTCTCGGTTTCGACAGTCAATCCAATAAGGAGCTGTATGAGACTGTCGATCCTCACATTTGCCTTACCCTCCATAAGCCATGCTTGAGAGTTTTATGGAACCTTTCACAGAGCATCGAAGTGCTGACACAGGAGCTTAGCCGACCGAAAGCTGCCCAAAGCTCTACTCTGTTACTCCTGTATTGTGTAAGCTATATATTGTAATAAAATTTATATATTCGTAAAGGCACTGACTAACCAGGAGTTCTCCATGTATGATGCGAGATGAACTTCTCCTTGGTCTCGCAAGTGTTTCAGCAAGAGGTGTATTTTGAAACAAATACAATCCTGCCGGGGATAAGGCAGACTTCACGGGCTTGTTGCATGAAGGGCTCCAGTAGATCGCTCTATACATTTTTTTTGTTCGGACAATATATGTAATGGAATATCATCAACACACGTTAACCAATTTAGAGCTTGCGTTCCGTTTCATAGCTTGCTGAACGTGCCATAGGCACAGCAGCCTCTGCGTGTATGCGGCAGGGAAAACCTTTGCAAAGCCATTCCA